ACAGTCAATGGGCATAGAATTAAGGCATATTTGGGGGATGCAGTGAAGGAGCTTCATCCCATTATCTACTTAGATGATCCTTAAAACAAAAAGGCGTCGAGCTGAAGACGTTAAACAAACGTTCCTGGGAGACAACCCAATGTTTTGAATTTGTTTTTTTTTCTTTTTGCAGTTTAAGTTTTTTGTGCATTTTTCTTTCTTAGGTTCTTTCTTTGCAAGATTGCTCCAAGTACACAGTGAACTTCTCCTCAAGACTTTGAAGTCTTACTTCAATGGCCTGGGGACAATCCAACTTTTCCAGAGGGGGTGAAAAAGTCTGCAGCTAAGGCTGAGACACAAGATAAGGAGTAAATGACAAGTGAAGAAAATGAGGGAGGAAACTTAATTTATTTTTAATGTTTTTAATTCCTTTGTTTTTAATTTAATGTTTTTATTGCTTTATTTTAAAATCTCTTGTTGTTCCATAATTTGTTTTAGAGTCATATATGAGATTATTGCTTATTGTCTAATTCAAATCTAGAACGTGAAAAAATCATTTTGATTGTTTCCAATAACAAGTGATTTTGGTATGATGAGTATGATAGTGAAAAGGAATTGATAAGGAGAATTAGGAATTAACTGAATTAGAGAAGCTAGCCAAAACCCAGGTGAGTAGAGAACCAAAAACAGATAAATTGAGTGTCAACACTTTGTGATGATAACTGATATTGATTGATTCTTTGATGTGATTGCGTGTTAGTAAGACTTGAAAATGATAAAGACATTTTTTCTTTGTAGTAGATATAAACCAGAGCCAAATAGTCAACCCTGCATTAATTATAGGACATCCATTTGAACCCCTTCTGAGCTAAAAATAATATTGTTTCTTAAACAGAACCCTTAATCCTAAACACTATTTATCTACCTTCCTATATTTGAGAAAGGAAATGAGTATGAATGTCATTATTTTTCTTATTTTTGGGTATTGCTATTGTTGTCCTGCAGGTATTATTGGAGGGATTGTTATTCTAAAAAAAAGGTGTAAAGGAAAAGGAAAAACAAAGCTTAAAAATTGGCAAAGCCAAAAATACATGCAAAAGCATGAGAAAAAAAATAGAAAAATAGTTCAAGGGGGGAATAATAACTTGTCAGATTATTTAACTCACTGTCATTGTGTTAGGGACAAAAGCATGAAGTTTGAAACCTGACTTGAGGAATTGTTAATCAAAAATCATTCTATGAGTTGAATTTCTCAAATATTTTTGTATATCCCAGAAAAACCAATAATTCTTTCTTATCTCAGCCTCATTACAAGCCTCAAAAGACCTTTTGATTTAAGTCTTATTTAACAATTATTGATTGCTTGAAGATGATTATCAATATTGGATTGTCTAAATGAAGTGATTGAATGAGATAAACACTTACCTGTGAGAATTAGAGATAAGTATATATAACTCTATTTGAGAGATCATGTTTCTTTAAGGATAGTTGAGGACTAATTATTCTTTGTTGGTTTCTATAACTTGAATGCTTATATGTTTGTTTTATTTTCATTTGGAGTTGTGAGCATCACCTTTGAAAATTTTATGTTGTGGTTCTGGAAGAGAAAGAGATAATAGGTGATGGTTTTGTTTTGGAAAAATTACTTTGTTTGGGACAAACAAGATTCTACGTTAGGGGGAGTTGTTAAGTGGTAAAAAGTTAATATAATTATGTCTTGAATTGTTATGAAACTACTTAACTTATGTTAATTCTAATTTATTTTTCTCCCAATATAGGATGAATTCGAGAATACCTTGATACAAGAGTAAGGAGTATAATTGTGAAGTAATTGAAGAAAAATTGAAAGAAAGAAGAACGCTTAAGCGAATGAATGATGCGAGACCCGACCCAAATTCTCTTATAAAAAGATAATATGTGTTTTGAGAAAGGAAGAGTCTTGGAGAAGAGGAGGCACGACTACTGTTAGGGTTTCGTCTAATCTTCATCAATTCTTCACTTCTTCATCAATTAGAGCATTGTAATGGCCAACATGAGTGACTAACTTCATTCTCTTAGGATTCGGTGCACTTCCTTTGAACTCTTTTGTATTATGGTGTTATTTTGAGATATTAATCTATGTTTTGATGTTATTATTCTTATCCTTTATGCTTTGGAATTATTTATTCTTGATTGTTTGAGGTATGATTGGAAAATATATCTTGAACCCTAGATCACGGTAAAAATATTTGTTACGTTAATTGTCAGGAATGGAATGAATGTATCAATTGCTTAACACCCTAAACCTAATGCTGAGAAATCTCTTAATTGTGTGAGGAATCAACATTTATTAGGTTTTCTTATGAATTTCATGTGTGAGGAATCAACATGGATGAATTGAGTAGATGACATCAACATTATTAGGTTAATTGACGTTCTTAATTGACATAGTCATTACAAAAGAGGGATAAGGAAGGAAACCAATCCTAAGTACCTTTAATTGATATTTTCTCAACAATTTACCATTTTTTGTCATTTAATTTCAATTCAACTCTTATTTGTAAAACTCAATCTGTTTAATCTACTTAGTAAGCATAATTGAGAATTTTTATTAAAGTTGTTTCTCGTGGGATCGACTTTTATTTTATCGAAATAGTATACTGCGATGGTACGTTTGTCAATAATTCAACAAATATGTTTGAATTTCAGCACAATCTTGATCACGCCAATGTGCTACGTAAACAGTTGGAAAGAACCGTTTTAGGGACTGATTTTCCACTCTATAATTTAAATGTAAATACATATTATCTTTTTTAGTTACCATTAACCTGTTTAAAAGAGAGGTTTTTCTTACTAGAGATTAATTTTTCAATTCAAGAGAAAAAATATACATAATAATATTAACTTATTAAATATTATTTACAAACTTAGAATATAAATTATATAATAATTAATTTTTATAATATAAAATATTGTTAAATATAATTAAAACACATATAATCTTGTATATATTTATTTTATTATAAGCCATTATTGGTCTGCTGGGTATCATTAGATGGATCTGCTATTGGCACATCAATTTCAATACATCCGATCACATTGAATGACACTTTTTTTATGCATAAAAGTTAAGGGTGATATGTTCTCATACGCTTACTTTTCTTCATTTCTACCTCATAAGAAAAAAAAATTAGGAAATAAGAGTAAAAATTAAATAATAAACCCCTATGAAAGAAAGTGCAATTACTATATAAAAATATCAACCTATATTCACTGAGCTAAAGAATAAGATTAACCTAATTTACTTATTCACTGAATCCAATACTAAGGTCAGAGAGACCTTCCTTTAACTTATAAGGGCAAAGACAACTTTCTTTGCACCCATGTTTCAATTTATGTGCTTTTGCAACTATGAATCATAAGAGTGAAGAACTATAACGATTTCACGCCTTTTAATATAAAAAAGTTATAAAATTAAGATAAATTTTTTTTGTCATAAAACAACGAAGAAAATGGTAGAAAGTAATTTTTAATTTTTCTTTATATAATCGATTATAATATTTGTATATAATATATATATATATATATATATATATATATATATAGACTGTTTTAAAAAATTGATAATATTTTTTTTATTATAATAATAAATAATTAAAAATTTATATTAAAATTATAATAAATAAATTATTAATATTAAATAAATGAATTTAATTATTTGAAGGTGATTGATAAGTTTGAAATTTAAATATACGCGTGAATGTGTTTAATAATAATGAAATTCATGCGTAATATTAATGTAATAATAAACTAATTAAAGGAAGAAAATATAATAAATAATTTACTCAAGATTCAGAACAAGTTTCAGGCCTATGATATAAAGGTTGATTTTTCAATTATTTTAGAGCATGTTTTCTATTTTAGAAAGAAATTTATGATAAGAGAAGAGACGAAATAAAAAATACTATAAATAAATGTAATAAAAAATATAGAAAAAATTAATTCTAAAAAGCATTTATAAAACTTTATTATAATTTTCCCTTTAGATCATTTACCTTAACTATCAAATTTAAAGGATATCAATTAATGTGAGAAGTTGTTATAACTCAACTATTATCTTAAATTTGAATTCTCAACATGTAATTTTCTTAAATATTTTAAGAAAAAAAATTGTCCAAATGATAATAATTATGACAAAGATGTAGACTATACTGAATGTAAGAAGTATTATGTTGAAAGAGATGGGAACATTAAATAATATCAAAGATGGTCTACATTAAAATATAATCCACCACTAATTGACTTATTGTGAATGCCTAGTTGATTCACTTTTTATTTTCTTAATCTCATAGTTAAAATAAGCTATTTATTTAAATCATTAAATTAAAAAAAAAAACAAAAAATCAGAAATAATAACTATCTTAAATTACTTTAATTTTTTTCACGCATTAACATAAATTCTCGTATTTACTTATAAAAAATATGATATCATCTTCTACCAAAATTTTAAAATATTAAAATATGTTACGAGTTTTTCATATTTTTATTTACTCAATTTTTTTACTTTTATTCAATAAAAAAACTTCAAACTCATTTAGATTCTGGAATCTCTCAAATATTATTTAAATTATAAATTAAAAAAGAAAAATTCTAAAAATAAAATAAAATAAATCACTGTAGTCATAGACATACATCCTATGTCAAATAAGAAAAACTCACTTGCTAAGAAATTAAAGGTTGTTAAAGAAGGTGTGAAACCTTTGAAAATGTTGGGTGAACTTTCCTCAACCATAGCTGACCCAAAACTTTTTTGAGGAATGAACAAATTATGAAATACCCCATGATTTAGAGGGTTGTTTCGGCCATAAAAAATCCACTCCACAACCTCCACACAGGTCCATACCCAGTTATTATTATATATACATGTACATCTGTCCATATAGATTGAAGATATTCCAAAACTTGGATTTGTTGTTTGAGGCCTGAGGGAGCTCAATAACCTTCTGGTCCCTCTCTCCTTCCTCATCAACATAGCTGCTATCATGCAATCCTCTACCTCACACTCCTTTCTCTCTCACCTTTTTCTGCTTTTCTTGTTATGTTTTGTGGCCGCAATTGAAGCTTCCAAAGAACAGTTAGTCTCAGCCATGTATGTGTTTGGAGACTCCACAGTAGACCCGGGAAACAACAATTTCATAAAGACGGCTTTCAGAAGCGATTTTCCACCTTATGGTAGAGATTTTGTTAACCAACTTCCCACTGGAAGGTTCACCAATGGGAAACTTGGCACTGATTTTGTTGGTATAACAACTTCTGTCTTCATTTTCTTTGCATGTTAAGTATTTAACTGTCATGAAAGTTATTCATAAATAAGAGGCATGCATTTGCAACAAGTGAACTCTCTTTGCTTGATGTTGCAGCTTCATACTTAGGCCTAAAAGAGTTGTTGCCACCGTATTTGGATCCGAATCTCAGCGACAAAGAACTTGTAACGGGTGTCAGTTTTGCTTCTGCTGGTTCTGGTTTTGATCCACTCACTCCAACTCTGGGAGTATAACTCTTTTTTTCTCTCTACCTTCATCCTTCTCCATTTTGCCTGTTGTCCTATTGTTAAAAGTTTAACACTTCACATCTATAATTTTGTTCATAAATGTTAAAAAAAATAAAAAATTGTTCAGAATATACTCTATTGCTGTTATCATGTGACATTAATAGAACAAACATATTTTTGCACTTTCTGTGTTTGTTTTCACTATGATGTGCTAAAATGGAAACTGATATATATAAATGGATTGTATTTAATAACTAGTTTTTTTGGGTTGTTTTGTCATTGCAGAATGTAATTCCAATGCCAAAGCAGTTGGAATATTTTAAAGTGTACAAAAAGATGTTAGAGGGTATGCTTGGTAAAAGAAGAACCGAACATCACATGAACAATGCTTTCTTTTTCATCAGCGCAGGTACAAATGACTACGTTATTAATTATTTTTCGTTGCCAATAAGAAGAAATAGCTACACCCCCTTAACCTACGGACACTTCTTGCTTCAACATGTTAAAGATTTCATACAGGTTTGAATCTCATACATATATACACTCATTTTATTTTATAAGATGTTTATATTAATCCAATATTTATATATAAACAAGTTCATCTTGAATAAAAAAATGTGAAAAAGATATGCAGTTGCAGGCATTCAATTTGCTCTAGTCTATAATTAGTTGGGAGGCTGGTATCATATTATTAGTCAACTTATGGAAAACAATAATAATAAAAAAATTGAATAACTTCAAGCATTTAATGAAAGTTGTTAATTATTTTTACTTTTCTCTTTCCTGTAATGTTTTATCATTTTTCATTACTTTAGGTAAATAAAAAAAATTATATCTATATATTGATTTTTTAAAAATAAATTTCATGAATGATAATTCCATAATATTTTTAAGAAATGAAAAGAAAAAACAGATACAAATTATACTACTTGTCGAAAGTTAAAAAAAGAAACTACAATTACTCTTCCCAAGAAATATTGTTCTGATGTGGTAAAAATAATGAGACACTTTCAGTGGGTGGTTCTTAGAGTTGCTATTATTGAAAGAAGAAATATGATTGGAGATATGGTCTTATATTTTCAAATCATTATTTTTAATGAATCATATATATACTCCCAAATATGGTGTGAAAATAGAAGTGTTTAATATATTTTCTTTCATTTCAATTACAAATAATCATCACAAATTTATTTATTCTTTTGTGAATATTTATATTAAAAAAATAAAAAGGGATGAAGATAAAAATACTCCTTTTCAAATTAAAAATATATTATAATTTCGATATAGATATGAAAAAAGAATATTTTACAAAATGAAAAATATAAGATTAGTAGTCGGTGCTCAGTAGTTACAACGCTGATAAGGTAGCTCAGAAAAACACTTAACTTTTAATGTGTTACTGTGAAACAAAACACTTAACTTGTAAAGAAAAGAATAGGTATGAAAACATGAAATTTATGGTTAGAATAATAAACTAATTAATACTACTTGGGTCATCATTATAGAATTTATGCAAAGAAGGTGCAAGAAAAATAGCTTTGGTTGGACTACCTCCAATGGGGTGCTTGCCAATCATGATCACATTGAATTCCCATAACATGTTTCTTGAAAGAGGTTGTCTAGACAAGTTTTCAGCTGTTGCAAGAGATTACAATATGATGCTTCAACATGAATTGTTCTTAATGCAACTAAACCTCTCTAATATTCCTCCCGGTGTCAAAATCTCCTACCTCGACATATATGGACCCTTGGATGACATGATCCAACGTCAAAATTTTGGTTAGACAAATTTAATTCATCATTAATTCACTACATTATTACCTAATTATATAAACCTATAAGTACATAATTTTCTTATATATATGTGTGTTATATGTTGTGGTAGGTTTTGATGAGGTTGATCAGGGTTGTTGTGGAACTGGTTACATAGAAGCAACCTTCCTGTGTAATGAGTTTTCATTCGTGTGCTCGGATCCGTCAAAGTTTGTCTTTTGGGATTCAATACACCCTACGGAGAAGGCATACTATGACCTATTTATGGTAGCCCGTCCCAAAATTGATGCCCTAATCAACGGCTAGGATCTATATATAATTTTTTTCCTCAATTTGCTTCGTTGGAAATTTAGATTAAAAAAAAGGCTGGTTTGTACCAAAATAAAAAGGGTTGCATGAAAATAGAAAAAATAACAAAGTTCTTTTTTTTTTCTTGCATAGTGTTATGTTCTATGTTCTATTAGTTTGTTTTTAGATAATTAAATAGAGTGATCTTTTGACTTTTGATTCCTTAATAAATTCTTGAGTGGACCTTACTTACTTTTGTCATTAAAAACATAAAACTATGTTATTTATTAAAACTCCAATGTTTTGCTATTAAAAATTTAAAAATATAAAATATCATGAATACTTATGGTTACTTTAGTCATTATCATATTAAGTATTTGATTTATTTTGTTAACCGTACTCCATGGAATGATAAAGTAAAATAAGAGGGGCCAAGCTATTGCTTCATAAAATGTGTGTGCATATGTATATATATATATATATATATATATATATATATATATATATGCATGAGGCTGGGGACCCAAATCATAATTGAAGAAGAAGAAGAGAGAGACAAAAGGGAGGTTGAGAGGAAGAAATTAGAAAAAAGGATAAGCTTGCTTTCAATGCCACGGTCCCATGGGATCACCTATTCAGCTATATCATCAAAAGGTCCACAACAAGTTACACCACTAACATCACGTTTACTTAATATTTTTTTATACGAAAAAAAATATATACATTTTACAAAATATAATAAAAAATTCTTATAAGTTAATTATTTTATTAAATAATTAACTTAAAAATAATGTTGTAAAATTAAGGAGAATTTCTTACGTCATCCCCTCATGTTATGATGTAAAAAAAATTCTTATATCTTCTCTAAGGCTTGGCCATTTTAGTCCAAAGGGTTTTAATTGGAACAATATTCAACGAGATTACATGCGCACCTTTAATATTTTTCGGCCACATTGAATGACGATGACATCATCAATATTGTGACTCATGGGTGGTACTGAATGTTTATCAGATCAGAGCATTTAAGTGTTTACTATTGAAGAGAATATTTTATGTTTCTAATTTTTATTGAAATTAAAATCATGATTATTTTTTTTGTCTCACTCACAATAATACATGAATATTTTTGTTAAATTGTTATTATTGAATATTAAGAGAAATCCAAGATAGAGGAGAAATAATAATAAAAAAAACTAAAAATACACAATAATAGAAAAAAGAAGAAGAAGAAGAAGAAACACAGAACAAACTAGCAAGAAAGAAAAAAACCAATATAGGAGAAGAAGGAAGACTCTTCCACTACTACCACCACTGCCTGTAAGAAAATCAGAAGATGTGATTATCAATCACTAATTTCACAAGGTGGTTGGTTGTTAAAGGAGAAAAATTGAATTCTCTCAAGATACAAAGATAAATTGAGATAGGTTCTATCTTGGGCACTATAATAGTGAATTGAGATAGGTTGTTTGAGTATTCTGGTGGGAGAATGGTTGAAAATCATGCACTCCTCGGTCTTTTCATGGTTACCTGGTTAAGTAACCCTTGTCATAATTTCAAGTTATCTTATCGTAGTACTTACTCTTGAATATGGCAAAGGATTTTCTACCGATCATTGGAATTCTTCATTTTTCTATTAAATTTGTTCTTAGATGAGGCAAGCCTCTTTAGCTCTTTTGAGGTTTTATTGTTGTTGTTGGCGTAGTTCTTGCATCATCTGCATCACTTCACACATTTAAACATATTAAAATAGAATCTCCAAAATAAATTTAAGACTTTTAGGTGGTTGTAATAGATTAAAATAATTTTATAATTGATTAAAATGTCTCGTGAGAATATTTTAACAAATTAAAACTATTTTTAGATTTAGTATATATGCTTTATTATGGCAAAGTTAACATAACTTGTTTTTTACATGAGTAAAAATGAGATACTATTTTAACGGTTTTTAAAGCATAGCTTCATTTCAAATTATTTGTTACACAAGCTAATCATTCTGTGTGAACGATGACTCTATATAGAAAGAAAAAGGCCAAAGTTTCTATACCACCATTGTTCTTAGGATCCCCAAATGTGATTTCATCAACTTCAAATCTTCACAACCATTTATTTAGACATCCTAGCCTTTGAAATTTACTTATTTATAATTTGTATATTGACAAGAACACCCATAAACTATTACACCCTTTTCCCACGTAATCACAAGGATAAATTCAGCTTCTCAGCCAATAATAATAATTTTGACCACCCTAGTAAGAAATACGCCTAATCTAAGTCACACTAGCTAGTCACTCAATACATGTAGAAGTAGAAAATTTACAAACAACACATGTAAAATGTAGTACAATAGAATAACCAAAATGCTTATAATAACCAAACTTTTCTCAAACAATATTTCCCCTTAGATGAACTTGGAGAACATGTTTCATAAACTCATTTTAAAAAAGTAATCAAAACTAATTTGCGTAGAGTAATGATAAAATTATCTGTTTGAAAACTAATTTTATTATTTGATGTTTCTTTATACCTAAATTGAAACAATAATTTAATTATTTAATAAAATATAAATCAATAAACACATAATTACTCTATTAAAAAGTAATTATATGCCGACTTTAATCATGTGAGTTAAAAAAAAAAAAACTCAGATAACATTCGTAACTCCCTCGCTAAATTGTTATATGAGTAGACATTTTATATTTTACTTTTTAATGTTTATTTTTATATAATTAAATACTACAAAATAAATAATATATTTGATTAAATTATTTTTTTATACAATAACCACAGTCACATAAAATACAAAATAATAATAATAATAATAATAATAATAATAATAATAATAATAATAATAATAATAAGATTGGAGTGATAGAAAAGAAAAAAGAAATGGAAATAAGCACCATGGTGTCTACTACTATAAATTCTCATTTGTAAATTTTTTATAAAAATTAAAAAAAAATTCTACAAATTTAAATTATTTTTTACAATAAGAAATTTTTTTAGTAGTATATGTCTCTTTAAGAGGCTTACGGATGTTAAAAGGTGTAAGATTTTTTAAGGGAAGAAGTTATTTTTAAAATAATTAAATTGTTTTCTTTTAATAAAGGATAAAATAATTTATTATGATATAAAGTAAAAGTTAATTATAAACAATAAATTTTATTATGATATAGAATAAAATAATATATTAAAAAAAATATAAATGAAATTTACTTTTGGATTAGAAAATAAATTTAAAGGAATGAAATATGATAAATTTATAGAGAAAGAGAGGTGAAAAAGAAATTGTTTGGATTATGAAAAAAATGATAAGAAATGTAAAAAAGTATGAAGAAAATTTACTAGAACATGTGAATGATTTGATTGATATAAATGATAAAAAATATATTTTAATAAAAAATTTATAAAATAATCAAATTAAAAGATTATAAAATTATTTTAAAACTATTAAGATGAAAAATAATTATAAAATATTTTTATTTAAATTATTAAGATGAAAAATAATTATTATTTTAAAATTATTATTAAAATAATTATTTTTATAATTATAATTATAATTTGTACTATATATTAAAATAATTATTAATATTATTACTAATATAATAATAATAATTATTATTATTTATATATTTATTATCATAAAATATTATTATTATTATTAGTTTTTAATAAACTGAATTGTGAAATATTACTTAAAGAAAATATAAAAGAATTAAAAAAATTACTAAATAAAAAATACAAATAAAACAAAAATATTTATTTTTTAATATATTAATTTAATTAAAAACATTAAATTTTTTAAAATAATTAAAATATAATAGTTATTTTAATCAATTTAATTTAATGTCTTCCTTTCTCTACAAATTAAACGTTTTTTTTATTGGAATCTCGAAAATATAATTTTTTTCAGCAAATCCTTTTCACGTAAATCCGCATCCGCGTCGGGAAACAAATACACTCTTAAAGATTGGGAGAAACACAAATATATTAGTGCACATGCTACAATTTTATCATTTTATCTTATTTTAACAAGTTAAAATTATATATTCATATAAATTCTAATTTTATATATTTTAAAAATAAAAATGTATTATTATTTTTAAAAATCAATTAATCAAAATGATAACATAAAATTAGACTGTGGAATAAAAAAGTGAATAAATATTATTTTTGAACCGTTAGTTCAGGTGAAGGGCACTTGCGGTTTCTTGGAAGCCGAATCGGATCGTGATCCTCTTCCATTTTTTTTATTTTTTTAAATTTATGATTTTGATCTGTAAAACTTAATCAACATTTATTTTTATTTTTATTTTTTTTATAAATTTATCCTCTCAGTCCCTTTTTAATTTTATAATTCTTCTATAATTTATGATTTTATCCTCTCAAATTTAATAATCATTTAATATATTTAAATATATATTTATAATTTTATTTTTTTACTCTTTTATCATCTTTATTTCTTTTATATTTATTTATTATTTATTAATAATATATTATTTTACTCCTAAGATAAATGGTCAAAATCTATCAAAGGAAGTGATTACTAATTTACATTTTATTGAATAATTATTTTATTTATTTTATGAAAAATGAAATAATTAAAATGATAAAAAATATATCTTATTACAATACTGTTAATAATAAATATTATATATAATAGTCGAAATATAAATATATTTTTTTCTGTTGTTTCTATTTTAATTTTAATTTGATGTATATATTATTTTTAGAATATAAATAATATTATTTTTATTTATTATTTTATATTTAAAAAGAAATATATTAATAAAAGAAACAGACTAAACAAGAAATAACATAAATAATTTTTTTTATTCATTAAATATATATATATATATATATATTTTTTTTTTTTATTATTATTATTATTATTTTTTTCAAATTACAGTCTCATTTAAATTTTAAAGTTTACCTCCATCAAATTCTCAGAGCAACCTCAGTGTGCAAAAAGAATAGATAACTACATTTCATTTTTGTCTGTGAAGAGTGGAAAAGGTGGGAGCCAAAATGGAGAACTCAAACTGTAGGGAAAGGTGGAACAGAACAGGGATCGATGATAACATGCTGGCCATGTTTGATGCCTCCGAAACCAATGATGCTCACCCTGATGCCCTAGATGACAGTACGAATCACACTTTTTTTTTTTTTCCGTTTTCCATTAACCTTCCACCGCGTTTGTGCCCACAAAGCCACGTGCTTAAGCTAATTGGACTTTTGGGTAACCGGAAAAATGAAAGCTTGAGTAGAGTTTTGTTCGGATTTCTTTCGAAAAAACAAGTTATATAAGAATGTTAAATGACCAGAAAGAGTTGTCTTTTTAATTTTTTTTTGTTCGATGATTCATACATGCAGGGATTACTTTTCTTGATGTTGTTCGCGCTTCTTCAATTGTGCCTGAACATGGAAAACCACCCACTTCGTAAGTATTTTTCTATCAGTCTGTGATAGCCTAAAACTGTATTGCCCCCGCATCATTTTTTTCCACATATTGGCAATCAGGTTTTGTTTGAGAGTAAATTGCATTTTGTGTCTAATACTGTCTACTGAGGTTTAATATTTGCCTTGTCAAGAAAAATTTTTAGGGCAGTCTTCCACATGCTGAGGACAGGGAATTCTCTAGAAATGATTGTGGCAAGTTATAAGCTTCTGGTAGATTTAGACAAGGTATTTGATTGCAACTTGAGACATGACTTTCTATCGTCATATTCATATAGGTCCTGAATGTAACTGATACGGCTTTACATGTGTAACTTCATTTTGGATTTAGCAATTCCCTCGTGTGTATTTATCCCGATCATCATCCAACACTCCATCAAAATTGGTTGTGGTTAAAGAGGTACAAAGAGTATAAGTCATCTCAATATCTTGTTTTTGTTCTATTCTGGGTTAATTAATTGAACTTATATGCAAATATACAATAATATTGTCTGTAGGCATGGTCCCCATTTATTGATTGCCTGGATAATGGCACTGCTGAAGCAGGCGATAAACAGTCTAGTGGACCTCTTGACCCTTCTGTGAGTTTATTTCTTATGTATTTTCTCCTGTATTGTTTTTAGTTCTTTCATTTAACTGCAGCGATTTTGCTGTCATGATTGTATTTTTTTCTATCCTTATGTGAGCTAAAATAATAAATTCATTTCAAAATTCAAAGCACAATATAGAAAATCTATGAAGGGTCTGTTTGTGTTATTGCTATTGTTCAACTATATAACTTTAATTCTATAATCAGCAACTTGTCTCTTTCTCTACAAACTTCCAACTTCCAAACTGTTTCTCAAAACATTTCTTTGAAATTGCCGTGAACATGGTGAAATGTACCAGTAATGAAGTATATCAATTATGTTAACCTTTTACATATTTTGTAGAAATTCATTCAATTTTAAAGTTATCTAGTTCTGCCACTTCACTTTAGGTAATCTATACTAACTTCTATTTTGTTGCGTAATATTACAAAGGATGTAAACATATTTTCAATAGCAGTTTTATGATTGATAAAAAAGCACTGTAGTTCAATGAACTAATATATATTTTTAAATTTATATAACTTTGTTTATAAAATTCAGCTTCCACTAGGTTCTCTCAGATGTATTTCTGTTAAATTGCATTTTGATATTGAATTCTTACCCATTTTGGTTCTTTATGTTCGCCACCTACTTAGAGCTTTCACCTCCTGATTGAAGACCTCGCTGAAATAATATCTGGGACCAAATTTCAAGCAGCAAGCATGGAGGTTAGTTCACCAATGTGGTAATTCCTGTCTAGAATTTTTTGGATATTTGTTCTACTTATCTCTTGGGTGGAGACGATCTAGTAAATTCACTTCCTACTGAGTTTATATGTGATCTACATTTTAATGTGTGTTATAGGATGGAATTATTGAGAAAGTTATTGTCAATTTCATTGGAAGAAGAACAAACTTAGTTATCATGGATTGTCAAGATTAAATGCTAATTAAAGTCACATGACTCATGTTTAAATCTTGATCAGGAAGATCTAATGATTAAGAATTGCTCTCTTCACTCTAAGAAAGAGTCCTCTCATTTGATACGCTCCCTGTATAATATCTTTCCATAATTGTTTAATATCTTTGCGTAATCTTGTTGCAGTCCTTGAGGAACATGTTACTCTTTCAGTACCTTGTCATTGTTTTTGAGGATGATTTTCTACCTCGCAATGGTATGTATGAAGTTAAACTCGGCTCTGCTGTCACCATGCCTTATAAAGTATTTATTCTAACTCTTTTGTTGCAGCGACCTTGAAGTGGAGCATGCAGAGGGATTCTTTGCTCAGCCTGCTACTGGTATTTGTTTTTAACACAAAAGTATACTGATCATATTGTGTAAAAGAATATTTTGTGAGTGGATCAACAATTCAACATTTTGATTTTGGTTTTAAAGTGTATGTGAAAGCTAATACTCTTCTTTCCATATATTCTCTTATAGGATCTCTATGCATCTTGACTCAGTCACCTTGAAAACTTTTCTTTCCCTTTTGGTTTTTGCCAAAATATATATCTTATTTAGTTTTGGCAGGGATCTAGGAAAATAAATTACAAAAGCTTGATGAAGGATTGCGTGATAATCATTTGTCAACTATCTCAACTTCTTCAAGGCGAATTAAGTAAACGTCTAGAGCTTCAACAAAGCTCTCAATCTAAGTTATCCAAAAATTGTCATATTGCATTATCCCTTGCTTTATTTGGAGTATTAAAGGACACATGTGTTTCAATGGAGAAACTTCTAGTGATGGTAAGTTCCTGAATAATTTTATTCATTGTATTTACCTAAACATCAAACGAAGTGTTCCTTTTTTTTCTTACATTCTGAGTGATTTTAGATTATGAACCTTGATATGGCAAGGAAGAAAGCAGATATGGAAGGTCACACTACAAGAGCAGACAGTCCAAGGTATTGCTTGCAATTTTATTGTTTCACAATGTTGAAGCGTTGAGTTGATTTTCTTGTTTCTTTACAGGCCAATGTTGTTGATAACTTACATGTAAATGTGATAATATTGTATTTTGGTGAATTTGGTACAGAACACCTTTGATGGACATAATTCTGGATGAACTAGCTTACAACAAAGATAGTGTACCTGTTTTTCTTAAGGTGGCTCCCAATTACTATCTCTCTGCCCTTTCCTTCTCTATTCCTCTCACCCAATTCTCTTTCGTTGCAACAACTGCCTGTATATGGTGCTAGAGGAAATGATAATATTGGTTGACTTGACACTTCCTACGTGTGTAGTTACTTTCCAAGCTCCCATTCCAAGTCATTTATTAAGGAATTATCTAGTGGATAATAGTTTCTTCCTCTTTTCATGTGAATGGCTTCAGATCTTCAGTGAACCGAAGTTGAAGCTGGAAATAGTTGTGCAGTATCTGTGGAAATACATAACCAAGGTAATCAACAGGTGGACTAGGCAAAATACATACTTGCTTAATGGTATATTTTTCTCCTGAAAGGAAGGCTCTATTACTTTTCGGCTAGTAGCTTTTGATAATCTCTTGATTCAACTACCTCTGTTTTATAAAAAATTGCAGCCTTCTGTTCGCACTCGTAAGACAAGTGATTATATTGAAGATACAACATTTGGTGGGGCTTTGAAGTGCTTTTCAAATAGAACTGGCACTAAGAGCTTAATGAAAAAAATTGGTGTAGATGTAATTCAATTACTTCTGGCCCATGGTTTTCAGGTACTTGTCTTTATATCAGCAAATCAGTGCGCAATATATATTGATTTTAACAACATAGAGAAGAACTATCGTAGAGAAAAGGAATATAAAGATTGAGGACTGTGATACAAATCAAGGATTGTTAGGGGGAAGAAAAGTCTCATAGACAGAATGTGATGTACAGAAAATAGTATAAGAATAGAGAGATGTCTCCTCTACGAATTTCTCCCTTCACAAAGATCAAAGCTTAATCTGCAAAAAAATAAAAAAAATTAAAGAGTTTCCCCCCTCTTAAGTCTTCTATATATTTAACTGCCAAACCTCAGGATACTATGATAATATCCTAATTAGTGGTCCTTGCTCATAACAACTTGGTAAACCTCCTAAAGAAGAAACAAAGACGACAAATAAAAAAGAATATCACAATTAATGGAAAACAAACCCCATTATAATAGACAAAGAGCTGCCTTAATCCCAAGGGTGGGATACTGACTACATTGATAACTGTTAAGGTTCCAACATAAAACCAATTGGCAATATGTGGAGTAGCCTAATATCAAATGATATGAGGTAGGTGATGTGGGACTTTCAACACATCCCCTCCAACGAAGCCTGCCGGACCAGACAAAGGGTACTTTTGACCCAACTAAAGGGTAACTTTTGGCCCATGACAACACCCCCTCCAACGAAGCCTGCCGGACCAGACAAAGGGTACTTTTGACCCAACTAAAGGGTAACTTTTGACCCATGACAATAACCGGAAAGATGTTAGGCTTTGGTTCTGATACCATGTTAAGGTTCCAACATAAAACCAATTGGCAATATGTGGAGTAGCCTAACATGTATTTAAACCATACCAAATGATATGAGGTAGGCGATGTGGGACTTTCAACAATAACTACTGATTTCATGGGATAGGGAGACTAACTAGAGATTTTGCCATCTGATTTTATTTCTTGGGAAGCTAATGTATTAGTTCACGCTCCTTGAAAAAAACTAATTCCTTTTTGAAATGGGTTGTTACTGGCTTTCAGGCTCAATTGTCAATATTGTCAAAAGGAAATGCAGATGACAACATCTCTGGTGACAAAGTAGGGGGAGTCGGTGCTCTTGTGGATTTGTGCCAGACTTTTATCTCTGCTTTTGATAGTTTTAGAAGCACGGATGCGTAAGGGAACCATTTATGAGGATTTTAATTTTCACAATACTTGCATACTTTTCCTTCGTGTGGTTTGGTATATTATTATGACTATTGATCATATATTATTTACTTAAAGAAAAGTTGGAAAATTTCATGCTTGAGTATTACCAAAACTTCGAATTGATCATATAATTCTTTTATTTTTTTGGTGGGTGGAGGAGATCCGTGAAGTGTTTCTGTTTACAATGTTGACAATTTTCTGATTTATTGTTTGTTATGGTTTAGGCGTATGGAGATATTGTCGATTGGAAAAGAGGCACTATTCACTGCAGCAACTATTATCTCCATGAAATCATAGAAGCATAAGTAAATTCATTGACTAGTTCTGCTTGGTAAATACAGGATCAACTCATTCTACCCAATTATAAGTGCTTTTGGTTCGATAAATTCGTTGTTTATTGAGAATTGATGACTTTGTGCCAGTGTTGTTAAATAGCTGCAATAGTGCCTTTGCATTGCGGAATTCCTCAGTTTTGCCACTCCATCCGCTATTGGGGCTGCTATGGGTGTAATGTGTCTTAATCCCTATCTTATCTCCAACGAGTCTTCTGCCAACTGAGAACTTTTGAGTTAATGTCATTTCGATTTTTATGTTGCATATATATATATATATATATATATATATATATATATATATATATATATATATATATATATATATTATATATATATATCAACCTTCATGTAACTTATGCAATCCACCCACCATGGCAATATATTGTTGGCTGTTCACCATTTTCCACAATTCACAAACAATTGATAACACTGTAACTTAAATTGAATGCATGAGATATACTTCATCATAGGCATCATCTTGACTGAAACTGACTGATTTTACAACATACCAAACTATTAATAATGAAAAACAGCATAGTTTCAAACCAATTCACCTAACACAAGGAATACTTTTAAACAACCAGCAAACTACAAAATTGACCAGTGGAAGTACTATTACACAAACTGAAAAAGAAAACAAATAAAAGATTAATCATAAATAAAAACAACTATTGCATTTATAACTGCACAAAACAATATGAAACAGAGAAAAGTTCCAGCAAAGTGATCTGGTATATGAGTTATAAATGCAAGAATTGTGTAAATTGCATGGCACTTGGTCATGGTCACATATGCATGCTACAATCTCGTCGTTTCTCCCCATGCTTTTTCCCTCGCACCACTTTCACCAAACTCAGTTTGTCCATGGCAGCCACAAAAGCTTGGAAAAAGTAGTGGTTATCCTTGGCGAAGTCTTGGACAAAAGGCTTGGTTCGTGGGTCCAAGGCCAAAGCCTGGTCCGAGGCCAACAAGCCCAGGTTTTGTTGCAAGTTGCCATAGTAGGCATGGTCAAAGAGGAAAGGCGTAGTGGCATCAAACGGAGCAACGATGTCGGAGTTTCCACCGAAGTTTGGACAGTACATTCTGAGTGCGTGAAGGAGTTTTGGGTCCATGTCTGGGTCTGGTTGGCCCTTGCCTCGGTAACTGTAGAGACGACCCACGAAGTTCTTGCAATGGGCAAACCCAATTGTGTGGGCCCCCGACAGGGCTACCAGATCCTGTGTTGTTAGACCCTTTGAGTTGAAGAGTTTGATGAGTTGATCAACGGTGGTGTTTGCATGAGGGATGTTGGTTCCCACCCTTGATGCCGTTGATATCTTTCCGTCCCATCTTCCCTTCTTCACTGGATAATATGGCCCTCCTGCCTGTATCACATTACAATAAATCATTTTTTACAATTCCAACTAATAGAATAAAAAAAGAATAATTCAGAGTATATGCTTGATACTCGAAGAAAAATATTAACTAAAAAAAATCTTTATAACGAGAAAGAAAATTAAATAAATGAATAAAAAATTTATAATTAATTTTATTGGTGTGAAAGAATAACCTCATATAGTAATTTGATAATTTTGATTAATTAGCAAAAATATCTTTTGATAAAATTTAATAAGAAAAAATAAAAATAAAATTATGAAATAATTATTTCAAAATTATTTTTTAAAATATTTAAATAATTAATTATAGATCTTATTTTTTTTTCAAGTACAAATTGAAAAAAAAACTTAAAAAAATCAAAATGTAATAAAAAATCCAAAAAAAGAAATTACACATTAAAGTCACACATGTAAAAAAAGACTATTAATTTGCACCTTTGTGTATTTAAGTAAATTAAAATTTTATTTAAAGGCAACTTTGATTTTATTGTAAAGAAAAAAAAAGCATAAATCCGCATATTAGTAACACTTGACTAAATATAAGTATAAATATTAATTAATACACAACAAATGTAATAATGAAAAAAAAAATTACCTTTTATGTTACCGTTATTGAAGTTAAAAGCTGAGGCAAAATCTTTTGGAAACATAACATAGTAGTAAAGAACAGATATTTACTGAATATTATCTTAGGGTTTGTGAAATTTCTTTTCAAATTGATTATTTCTTTAATAAACCCGATTGAAATATGGGCAAAAATTGAAGGTTAAAGCATTGCTCTGAGCTAGTTTCATCACTTTTCATAAGATGACATGCAAAAATCCTACGTATTTATGAGGGGTTGGATCATAGGCAAAAAGATGACATGCAAAGAAGGGTAAAAAAGTCATACATGATAATAATGCTCCTCCTACAAATTTTTCTAGTTTGGAGCACTTACTAGACCACAACTGATATTTTAGTACCAATCTTGAGATGATCAAATATGTTGATGATTTATCAAACAGACCTATTCTCTTTAATAAATTTAAATTGAAGTTTCTTAACAGTTTGATTTGGTTATAATTGGAGTCATCAAATTTTCTGCATTGCCATTCACCAACTTGTTTTTAATCACATAACCAAATAAAACCAAAGGCAATCTTAAATAATTCAGTTTGGTCTGATCAGCTTGTTTTATACACGTCTGTTTTTTTCTTTCTTAGAAAAACACAAATTTGACTCTACTATCCCATATCAAGTTTTAAAATTCAATGAAAACAATACAAGTTACAATATAATTATCTATAAACATTTAAATTATAGATAATATGAAATGGCACAGAAATGGACAACACAAAAACTAAGACCTAAGGTTAAGAAGCAGCGTTGTTTCTGGTGCCCAGATAATCCAAACATATAAGTACAAAAGTTTGGCTGTTTTGAACTCTGTCATTATGCCCAAATAATACTAACCAATTCATGATCATATGAAAACAAATTTAAACTGACTTTTTGCCTAATACATGAAACATTCAGTCTGCTAAATGCTACAAAACTGCAATTAGAGATGCATAACCACCAACTAATACCAATTTCTTTACACATTCATTATATAATATCCAATGTCATCATTAGTGGCAGACAGATAAGCTACAATAAATCTAGGACACCTTTTCACTTGTACCGTAAGGCTATAAGCCTAAAACTTTATAACTTTTTTGGCATTGGAAGCAAAACTGCTATAAAAGAAACACAGAGAATATGCACAAGTAAAAGGGGAAGAAAATCTGAAGAACCACTCAAAAAATAGAAGGGGAAAAGCATAATGTGGATTTCTTCGTAGTTAACTCATTATGAACCAACTTGGTTAGCATAACAACTTTTGAAACTACACTTGCTTTGGATTTGTATTGCATGTGAACTTATACCTATGAATTATGTGTGATGTGGAAGAGGAAGAAATCAAGAAACCAAAAGACAGAGGTGGATGAATAAAATCAAAATATGAGATGAATAAAGAGAAAATAGTTTAAATACTAATGAAAATATATGATAAGCATGATAGGAAAGACAAGGCAAACAAAAGAGCAACAACTTACCAGGTGAACATAATCTCTGGCTGCAATTACAAGAATGTCTGCACATGACACCACACCAGGGCACTTTCTCTCCACTAGTTCCTTAGCCTTTCTCACAGTCTCGAAACCTTCCACTCTCAAGTCTCTATTATCCACTGCATCCTTCTCTGCCAACTCCTTGCTTCCAGGCTTTGATGCTATTAAAATTGATGCATCACACCCCTGCACTCACCCGTTCAAGAATTATCATAATCCTCAACAAAAGTGACCACCCCACAGCACAAAATTCACTATTTTGGATGAATACTGACACATTCGTTCTAAAATCTTAACTTCTGGATCAAGACTAGGAAAAAAGTTTTTCTTTAAGGTTTTAGAACTTTGACGATATCAAGAGAACACCACATTTTGTAGCATATCTTTTGTTAGAAAATAGAAACTTATTACAGGAATTCATACAATATGAGGTGAGATCTACAAAATTTTGTGGTTTCGGAAAATTGTGGTTTCGGAAAACACGTCTATGCATGCATGCAAGTGGAAAGCTAAATCATTTTTTAAGGGGTTGGAATTGATCTTACTCCTACAAAGCAATCATGGAAAAGGAGGCGAATGGTGGCAGGGCCAGAGGCAGGTGATTCTTTGAATTGTTGAGAGGTAACTGAACCAACAAGCTGTTCTAATTGGGGGCATCGTTTGGCATAGTAATTTTCTGAGAGTTGGCGAGGGGGGCGTGAAGAGTTGGCACGTATGGCTAAGCAAGATGAAGTTCCACTCAAAATGAAGAAAACAAAGAAAGATGTGAATAGTGGTGAAAAAGAAGGGGATGCAAAAGAAGGTACAGACATGAGTTTAGATGATGGAGCAGCTTAGGACAAAGAAAAGGGAGAGAGGTTTAGAAGATCAAAAGTAAAGGTAAGGATGAATGTTTTTTTTGTATTGGAAAGTGGAATAGTTTGTCAAATCAGAATATGGGGTTTTAAATATTAAAGGGAATCAATTCCCGTGAGTCTCAGAAGAGAAAAACGAAGCTCAATTAATTTCTGGTATCTAGTGCAGAAAGGTTCTGACACATAAAAAAAAAATTGAGAAAAATCAACAACACATCCCCTTAAACATGTTTAAAGTATACTTGAAATTCTCCACCTGAAAACACCACATTTTTGCTTAAATCATGCATAATAGGTCTTGGTTTAGTCAATTGCATATAGGGTCTCCCTACATGCATCATGTCACTTTCTAAGATTCTTGAGCTCTCTCTAGGTGAAAGTATGCAGAGAAAAACTGTGGTTTGCCAATTACCACTCACTGATTGTTTTGAGAACAGTAAAAGTGGAGAAAGATCAAAGAAAAAGGACATAAACTACCCTTAGGAGTACCTCAAGTTGTGGTAAAATATTAACTAAAAAACGTGATAATGAGATTCATTCACATGTGTGTATATGCAATTGATCTTGATCGTTCGTGATTGTGGAGGTTGACTCGTGATTGATGGGGACCTCCTAACTATCCTAAAATATCGAACTCTTTTCACTTTCTACCTCATAATTTGAACTTTTCAACAAAGCCAAGTTTGCAATTAACCACATTACAATTGTTGTACTGTAATTGAAAACCATGCCAAACTCACCCATGATATAAAGAACTTGGAAGCAAATACAGAGATGACATAATCTACAACAATGAAGATAACAATATTTTGCACACTCCTTTTAATATTTAACCAAAAATTCGTTTCAGAGCGAATTGTACCGTAAAACGTAATCGAGTAAACAATGAGATAAAAGAACCATTTTGTATGTAAAAAGCAGGGTGGAGGAAGCGAAGTGTGAACCCCACCAACATGACATTGGTGCAGCCATTGCACGAGTTATTAAATGCAAAGCATGTGCAACCAAAAGGGTCACTAGATTATTAATAAATGAAGCCGATGATAGTAATTAATCAAAGTTTAGTGATTTCTCCACCCCTTTGAGTGCAAATACTGAGTTGCTTTTCCTTTTGCAGGTTGGTCTTAAGTAGGGGGAGGCTTTTGGTGTGAGTGCATTAAAAAGCTGGAGGACCATCTCACCAAATTCATTCATTCTGGAAGCTTAGCATTAGAAGCTTAGAATTATGGTGAGTGAGTGTGTGAAGTGGACCTGATTCAGCTTTTCTTCAGTGGGCCTCCTACCCTCCTCCACTTTCCTTTGGGTTCAACTGTTTGTTTCCATGTTAGTAACAAGTTGTTGGAGTGTGATGTGAGAATCTCATGTGGCCAATTACAAATCCATTCAGGCACAAATAAGGTTATTAATATAACTAAAATCAATTATTGAATATCTCTATAAAACATTATTTTTTTATTTTTAATGATAGCTATTTTCTTGTGATTTTTCTAAGAAAAACTTAAAAGGAATTATACAATTTTTAATTCATATTATCATTCAAATATTAATATTTATTTATCATAATTTTTAATATTTTCTTAATCAGACCATATTTGTTTCTCTAATATAATCATACGTAAGTCATCATTAACATATCAATTTTGTTTTGATGGAAAATAAAAAAGAATATTTTTTTAAAATTTAAATTATATTAATAAATTAATTTTCATTTTAAACAAAATCATTTAATATATAAATCGCAACAGAAATTGTTCATTTACTTCAAAAATAAGAAATAGGGACTTAGTCTTCATTAAAAAATATCATTTTTTAGTAATACAATAATTTAAAGTTATAATTCATCTTTATATATATATATATATATATATATATATATATATATATATATATATATATAATAATAATAATAATAATAATAAAATAATATTATTTTTATTTTATTTTAAAAAGATTATTTCATAAATTTTTTTTACTATGGACTAGTTTAACAACTCATTTAAGTCATAATAGTTGGAATTAAATTTGTCTTATTTAATTCAAGTTTTTTTTTAATGTAATCTAACTTATTTGTTGAATTTTTGCATCGATGTAAACTTGTATTTAACACTTTGAAAGTAAGATATAATAAAATTTTATATATTCTTAAAAGTATAAGTTTTGAGATGTATTCAAAATAAAAATGGAGTTTACTAAATCCATGGTTACACATTTGGTTTTTTAAGCAAAGAAGGTATCCTAAAGAATCATTATATAACTTGCAATCTATTGAAACATATTTTAAAATATTATCAAAAAATAATAGGAAGATTGTATCAAAATCTATTAAGACACAGATCTACAATTAGATAAATTCCATTTATTTTTATTAAAGTCAAACTTAATAAAATCATCAATAAGATCACACCACCTCATAATTTGAGTGTAACTCCAAACTAAGTTTGTCGTCAAAATGAATTTTTTTATTTTCTTTTTATAAATTTATAATTATACCATAGATACGATATTCTATGAAGCATGATTTTATATTGTAAAGTAATTATAAAATTATATTTGACAAATAAAAATTGATATAAGCATTTATGTTGATATTCTTTTCATTTAGTTTTTTTTTTTTGGATTTACCAATGTTGGTTTTAGAAGCTTTTATAATTTTAATAAATTTAAATTCATTAAATTTAATTTTTTTTTATTTCAAACTGTTTTTTTTATTTTTATACTTCATTAGGAAAAAATCATTTAAATTTATTAAATTTTAATTTTTTATTCAGATAAAATATTTCAACTACCATAATATATATATATATATATATATATATATATATATATATATATATATATATATATAATCAATTGGCGTTAATAAAAAAAACATATTTGACATTAGTTAGAAAATATTATTAATATTAAAAAATTGACTAATGTTGATTAAAAGATAACATTAACCTATAGCGAGAAAAAACCTTGACAATATCGATTACAAAATAATTACAATTAATTTTAATTAAAAGAAACAATGTTAATATCAATTAATGTTTAATTGATAATATCATTATATAGATAAAGTTAACCAGATTAATAGTCAATCGAGTAGATAATTAAAAAAATTATATAAATATGATATTTGAAAGAGTACAAAAAATTAGGGATGAGAATTAAATTGACCTATCTATCCTAATTTTAAATTTAAGGAAAAAAAATTTGAATTGATTTGAGATAAGAGTGGAGACATATTTGAATTTTTCCTCTTTTAAAAAGAATTGATAATTAATCTTTTTTTATCACTTTGAGCTAATTAAATAAGAATTAATTTATTAAGTACTTTTTCATAAACTATATATTTCATATTTATAATTATTTAAAAATGATAATTTTTAAAAAATAACTTATATATGTAATTAAATATTTAAATATAATAATAATAATAATAATAATAATAATATAAGTATTTATATTTGTATAAAGAAAAAAATATTAAATATTTTTTTACATACATATTTTAATATAAATATAATAATTTAAAATATAGACTTAATTAATAATAATAATTATAAATTATAAATATATTTTTATAAAAAATATTAAAATTAATTTATTATAAATATAATTATTTTTAGAAATAATATGAAATAGGAATGAGTCGGGAGCGAAGAAATTAGAAACCCAAGAAGGACGGGATAATGACTTACTTTTTAACCCCGAAAGCATTGGGGGACATGGCCAATTAAAAAACATTGATGTTGGAGATAGGGGAGACAAAACATGTTCCCACTTAGTCTCATTGTCATGCCAATTTTTAATTCTCTTAAATAAAATTTGAAATTAGTTAATTTCAAGTAATAAAATTACCCACATAAACTTATAAAAGTATGATTTTTAAAATTTTTTATTCTTTATTATAAAATATTTTAAATTTTCTATAAAAATAAATTAATTATCATATAAATATTTTTTATAAAAATAAATTACCTTTTAAAAAATCTTTATAAAAAAATTTATTAAGTTTTAGCAATAAACATATTACAATTGTTAACATATTTTACTTTTAAACATATTACAATTGTTTTTATTTTTGCTATGGAATTATAAATTTTCAAACATTTTTACTATATACGTTTAGTTATTTAACCAAACATTAAAAATAAATGCATCTTCTAGTTGTAAAAGTTGTTAATAAATTTATATTTTATTATTGTTTAGGACGACAAAATAGGTTAGATATGGTGGTTGATCATCTCACCTCAAAATTAGTCCATTAGTCTATTTTGTTTCGTCTTGTCAAACATATCAATCTGATGAGTCAAGGATGACCGAGTGAATTGACCTGCTTTAAAAAATATTTATATATTAAAATTAAAATAACAAAAAATATAATTAAAAATATTATATTTTTGTGATATATTATTGAAATATTTAAATATATTATAATATTATAATTTAAATTATAAATATTAATCCGTTAAACTTAAATTATTAATTATAATTATATATTTTAACACATAAATATTATAATTTTTTATTTATCTAATAAAAATATTAATCAATGAATAAAAACTTAAAAATTATTCATATAATTAAAGGTGTATTTTAAAAAAACACACATAAAAATTTTATATATATAAAAAATTGGTACACTCGACTAGCTAGTCCGTCAAGCTACCCTTTAATGAAACGGGTTAGAATTTATAACTCGTTTTGACTATGATAGATAGGATTGTCAAAACGGGTGACCCAGACCTAACTTGGCTTGACCCTAGAACCACCTAAAAAAAACTAACCTGACTTGTATTTTAAAATAAGTCAAAAAGTTTTGGTTTGGTCTAAATCTAGGTTAGACTAATGAGTTAACAGATCATTTTTTGTCTAATTAAAAATAAAAAAATTATTTATATGATTTTTTAAAATTTTATTTAAAAAAATAATGTCATTTATTTGTTTATTTAAAATTAACTCACAACATG